TATGTGTGTGTGTACATATTTGTGGTGTGTTTGTGGTGTGTGTGTTTGCATGTATGTGTTTATGGTGCATGTGGGTGTGTGCGTGCGTGCACACAGGACAGCCACGTGGAGGTACTGCGGTGAAGCCTGTAATACAGAAGGCCATCTGGGACCATGGCACATCTTCATGAGAGAAAACGTCTGGGAGGAACCCCTACTCAGCAGTGGGAGGCCCCAGTTAACTACCGTGTTTTAGTAGTGACATACTGAGGGTGTTTTCGTATGACATCTAGGTATAAATAGATGAAATAGCATTACAGCATTGAAGGAAATCAAGTAGATCTCTCTATGGATAAGTCTCAAAAACAGTGTAAACAGAGTTGCAGAATTCCTTGAATATATGTCATTTTCTAAAATTTTAAAGGGTCACACAGACATTTTTCTTGGATTCATATGTGGACAGTATGAAATGGACTGAATGCATCCGTCAAGCAGTGATATTTGCAGGCGGGGCCCATCAGGGAGCAGGCGGGGCCCGGTCGGGGAGAGGTGGGGCAGTCTGGGAGTGTAAGGTTAGCTCTACTGCTCAAGTCTCTTTAGCAAAACCAATAAAATGGTAATAATAATTCTAGGTGTACTCGAGTAAGACTGTTTGCAAAAGCAGTTCTTTATATTTGAAGAGTTTCTCAATAAAAACACAAGGGAGAAACCCTGGTGGGAACGACAGATAGTGTCGGCAAGCAGATGGAAGAAGGGAGCCCTGGCCCCACCCACTTCTGCCTGGAAGATCTGCCGTTGCCCTGAAACCCCCAGAATACTCCTCGTTTCCCTGGCTGGGGCATAAAGTGGGAGTCCCAGATTGGGGCTCTGAGCTTGCTATTTTATGGAAAGACAGTAACCGTGGTTCTGGGGTGGTATGTGCTGTGCCGTGTAGTGGGCGGCAGGTGTGGCTGCACCAGGTCTAGCACTAGAAGATGACTGCCTGGGCCTGTCTATTGATGTGTTGACTTCCGTAAGTTTGATGTGCAAAGTAAGCTTTAAAACAATGATGTCATAAGCACTGCCTGAGCTGCTGATGTTGGCAGTGACTGTAATCTCTTTTCTTTCTTCAAATTCACTGAACATTAGAGAATCACTTGCATATTAAAACAAAACAAAACTAATCTTACCTTTTACAATGAATCAATGTAGTATTTTGGAAACTTATTTGTTATTAATCTATATGTGTGAATCTGAAAAATAATATATTTAATTGTACTTTAAATCTCAGTGTAAAATAGAATAACTTTATTTTTGTCTTTTGAAGTATTTTTAACATATCTAAAACAATATTCAAAATGTTTGCTTTTGTTAAGATATACAGTTGTATGGAAAATAATATAATCCTATATAATAAAGAGGTAATATGCAAATTGACCATCACTCCAACACACAGGATGGCTGCCCCCATGTGGACACAAGATGGCCGGCAGGGGAGGGCAGTTGGGAGGGAGACCAGGTATGAAAGGGAGAGCAGTTGGGAGCGACCAGGCCTGCTGGGGAGGGCAGTTTGGGGGGGACCAGGCCTGCAGGGGAGGGAAGTTGGGAGGGACAAGGCCTGTAGGGAAGGGCAGTTGGTGGGGTCCAGGCCTTCAGGGGAGGGCAGTTGGGGTTGCGGACCAGGCCTGCAGGGGAGGATAGTTAGGGGCAATCGGGCCGGCATGGGAGCAGTTAGGCATTGATCAGGCTGGCAGGGGAGTGGTTAGGGGGTGATCAGGCTGGCAGGCAGAAGCGGTTAGGGCCAATCAGGCAGGCAGGCAGGTGAGTGGTTGGGAGCCAGCAGTCCTGGATTGTGAGAGGGATGTCCATCTGCCCGTTTAGGCCTCATCAGGCCTGAACGGGCAGTCGGACATCCCTCGAGGGGTCCCAGATTGGAGAGGGTGCAGGCTGGGCCAAGGGACACCCCGCCTCCCCGAGCACGAATTTCGTGCACCAGGCCTCTAGTCCTATCTAATAATAGATGAACATGGTAATTAACCGTACCTCCGACACGCTTCCCATGGGCTAATCAGGGCGATATGCAAATTAACTGCCAACCAAGATGGCGGCCAGGCAGCTGAAGTGAACAGGAGGCTTGCTTGCTCCAGTGATGGAGGAAGCCAAGGTTCCCCGCCTGCTGCCGCCAAGCTCTGAGCTGCACTCTAAGCAACTATGTTGCAATTATAGAAGCTAAGCAATCCCCAGAAACCTGCTTTCAGCCAGCCGGGCCTCAGAGCTGGAGTTGCAACAGTGTTTCAATTATAGAAGCTAAACAAAGCCCAGATACCTGCTTTCAGCAGCCGAGGTCTCAGAGCTGGAGCCAAGCCTCAGAGCTAAAGCCGGCTCTC